GCTGTGCTTTGCTGTGTTGTGCTGTGATGTGATGTGATATCAATTGCAATCGCAACGTGGTAGGAAAGTGCGCGCAGGCCTTGTTCTTTGGTTTGTGGCACTGCCACGAAAACACAACAATCGTTTCTGACAAAGAATTTCCATAACTTTTACCTTGATTTGTTGTGCTTCGCAAACAACACAAAWTTTCCACCACACCACAACACCATAATTGTGTCCAAAACACACAACAATACACCGCGCCAACAAGGTATTCGCCGAACCGAACACTCGTCGGCCTGTGCATCGCCTTTGTCGTTATCACCCTCACCGCGGTGCTGGTCGAGTGGCTCGTCTTTGATCCCCTCCTGCAGTACGTTACGCTGTTTTACGGCGTCTTTGTCGGGTGGTACGGGATTGTGGACATTTGGGACGACACCATCAGCCGGACCGTCGAGGGCTCGGACGCCCACGCCTGCTTCAAGATGTGGCCGTGCTGCCTGCCGAGGTGCGTCGGCGTCCAGTTTGCCGCCGCGGCCATCCTTTGCCAGTGCGCCGGGCTGTACATCGCGCTGCTGTCGATGACCTTTTCCTAGTGGAAGCAATGCAGGTGTAGCCAACTAGAGAACGCGACGACAAACAAGGCTAGATCCACACTATTTTTGAATGCAATATTATCGCATCTTTTGTATACAGCACATATAATTCGATGCAGAAGCAACTGCCGAAATTCGGCCACCACTAATATCAGTACTGAAAACAGCGCCAGTCTTGTCTCCGGTGCYACAGGCAACGATCGCGTGAGGCGACAACAATGATAGTATCTTCTCGGTYGGGTTACGACACATTTAGACTACTACTAGATAGGGGACTGCGTTACTATTCATACAACTAGTGCATTACTTGGATGGTGAAATGTTATGACACTTTTCCGCACTTGGGGAATTCATTGCGTTTCTCCCGTCATTGGCGTTTGAAAAGGATGGAACAAGGAGAGACAAAATTGTTCTGCCCTTTTGTCTTCGGGAAGAAATCGGATTGCAATGATGGTTGTCTTTCACGGGAAACGAYYTTCGGTCATGCTGCCCGTTTCAAAACTAGSTAGTTGCCGCACCATTGACTACAGTACTTCAACACAAAAGGCGGTGTTTAGGTTCCGTTGGGTTGTCTGCACCCGGCCTGCTTGTTGTGTTGTGCCAACCAATTCCGGCACCCGCTGCTCGTCGTGCGCAGTCCTTGCTACAAAMCATYCGCGGCTTCTTGGTATSTGTATGTTTTGTTTCTTTGTGCGAGTGCGAGTGYGMGYGYGTGCGTGCGYGGGTGTGGTTACCAAAACGACGGCAGCTCTTCTTTGGTGGACGCCGGCGCGTCCCGGCACGGAACGAGGCTGGCCTTGTCCCGGAAGTGGCAGGTCAGAAAGGGCCTGGCCGAACAGCAGCTGGATGGCGTGTAGTCCACGGTTGCGCTTTTCCMGTTCTGTTGGGTGTTGCAGGTATCCTTCAGGTACCAGTCCCCCATCTGCTCAAAGTACTTGAGCTTGTTGTCCTTGCTGACGGTCCAGCTCATGTGGAAGACGTAGGGGTCGACGCCGACGCCGCTGCTTCCGGCGCTGCCTTTCCCTTCCGTGGCGTTTCCCCCCAGGACCCTTTCCCGGCGGCTCTCGGCGAGCTCCTTCATGAATCCCGGCCTCCGGTGGTAGGCGTGCCCCCCCGGGAACTCGTTGGTCTCCCTGTTCCACGTCTTGACCCGGAGGTTGTAGAGGCTGGCGTGCTCTCCCAGCACCGAGATCAGGACGGACTGGTGGGAGCCCGCCGTCAGGACGGCGTCCCCGTTCATCAGGATCGCGTTGAAAAAGTTCCGGGTTTTGGGGTTGCTCCTGGCAAAGTAAAAGCCCGTGTTGGCCGAGTACGGCGCGTAAAAGAGGGTCCGGGCCCCGTCGTCCTGGAAGAGAAGGTCGAAGTCCCTCTGCAGCGGGCTGCTGCTGCCKGTGGTTTCGTTTCCGTTGAGCCAGGGCAGGGGGTCCCTGTACCAGATCACGTCCGCGTCCTGGAACAGAAGGTCGWATCCGAGCTGGGACACGAGGTGGACGCAGTAGACCTTCGACAGCATGATCTGGCTGTAGGTGTTGTCCCCGTAGTCCCTGGCGGCCTCCGAGGGAGTTTCCCCAAAGACGGCCTCGCTGTAGAAGCTCGAGAGGCCCATGGAGGTGACCAGCGCGTGGGTCTCGGGGTCCGTGGAAAAGACCAAAATGTTTTTGAGGGCCCCCTCCAGTCCCTGGGCACGGGCGTGGCAGACAAAGTTGAGGAGCATCTCGGTGTGCCCAAAGTTGCAGACGATGACCACGATGGTCTCGTGCGGGTTGTTGGCCGCAACGGCCCTGGCGATCGGCTTGAGGTCCTCCAGGACGGCCGGGAGCGCCGTGAGGTAGGCCGTGAGGAGCTTCCAGAACTTGTGCGTGTGCCGCTTCTCGGGGAGGTTGTGGGAGAGTTCCCCGTTGAGCTGCATCCCCCGGTTGACCGGCCGGAAGGGGTGGGAGAGGTCGGTGTTCCGGTCCCTCATCCGTTTCCCGTCGGTCATGCGCATGAATTTCTGCAGGTGGAAGCCCTCGTAGGCGCCGACGATCCCGATGCACTGCTTCCTCCGGGAGTCCGAGGTGACCACCACGTGGAGGTTCTTGCAGTTCTTGGTGGCGTCGGCCACCGACAGGGCGCTCCCGCTCTTGGGGTACTCCCTGGCGGTGGCGTTCTGATCCGGAAAGGCGCTCGGGTCCGAGTAGAGGATCATGGCGCGGTTGTTCTTGTGCTGGCTCGCGTCGAAGGGCATCCCCGTCTCGAAGACTTTTCCGAACTCGTCCCGGTCGACGAATTCCATCCCCGAGGCAAACTCCCCCGTGTGCCGGATCGTGAAGGCGTCGGCGTGGAAGCGCCGGGGTGTTTTTTTTGTTTGTGTTTGTGTTTGTGTTTGTGTTTGTGTTTGCGTTTGCGTTTGCGTTTGCGTTTGTGTTTGTGTTTGCGGTTCCTTCTTTGCCGCCGGTTTGGGCTCTGGTGTGGACGACGTCGTGGGTGCGGAAGTTTCCATTTCCGTTGCGGTTGTCGTTTTGTTTTTGGAGGTTTCGGATGCTTCCGAAGGKGGAGGAGGCGGCACCGGGTCGGAGGCGTTGGTCATGGTCTTTCGGGAGACGCGGCCGACGGACCAGTTCACTTTTTSGTTTCGGAGGGAGGAGACACCGGGGTTCCTARTGCTGCCGCCGCACTCGCAGGGGGGGCAGCCACTGGGTTCTGTGCCGCCGCYGGCGGAAGTGGTTATTTCTGTTTCCAGYCCCTGCATGTTCCAGCCCGAGTAGACCCCCAAATAAAAGACCCCGACCGACCAGAGGATGCACTTGAAGATCCATTCGAGGTTCCTGGGGTTGCTCCCCCGTGGCTTTCCCTTCTCCCTCGGCGAAAACTGGGATGTGTCTCTCGCAATCATTCTGTTTGRTACTTTCTTCTAGCACACCAGTTCGGTTTTGATGCTTTCTTTGTTTCTTTGTTGTTTTGTTTGTTTCTTTGTTTTGTTTCGTTCGTTTGTTTGTTGTCGCGTATCCTGGTTCCTCCTTCTTCCTTTTGGGTGTTTGGTTGSGTTAGAATCGGTTTCGCACCTGCCTTCGCATCCGGAGAGGGCAGTGGTTGTTCAGTTCGTCAGAGTTGATCCGGTTTTTGTCGAGAATGGAGGCACTGGCATATCTCGTTTCGGTGCCTTTGTAAGCAAGCGTAAGGTAAGTTACATGTACAAGTACGAGTACGTACCGCAAAGCAAACAAGTACCGATATGAGAATGATAAAACACACACATACTGAGTACGAGAGTATGCACCTAGCATACCTCTACGTAGTACGCAGTCTTGCGCGAAGGAACGTACGGTACGAGATTGTATCAACCGCGAAAAAAAAACTATCCGTTGGGTCGAGGATTTCGATTTTTGAGGAGATTCAGAAKGCCCAGAGGGTTTTGTCGATCGTGCATGATCGAGATCAACAAGAGGCAGGACATTACGGTACAGGTACGTACCAGTAGAAGTAAGAGAGCACGAGTACGAACTGTTAGGAGTCACGAAAGGTCATTAACCATTCCCCGACCAACCCCGCCTGCCTCTGCCTACCCTTATATGTATTATATATATATATAGTATATACGAAAACACCAAACGATCAAAGATGGCCCACCGAGCGTGCAAGCCAGCAAGTGGATCGTGCTCCTCCTGCCGGAGAACCGAGATGCGTCACGAGGAGCAACTAAGAACAAAAGGGCGCGTGCGTGTGTCGATTTTGATAGTTTGGTGATGGAGAGTTTCGTTTGATGGAATTTGATTTGCTCCAAAGGATTTTTTCGCATCTTCTCCTTGTTTTCCAAAAGTGCTATGATGGTGCTCGATGCCTGTACGGTACCCTACGACACGTTACGGTACGGATACTCCCGAAACATACTATCCCCCCTTCCTATCAATCAACGCATGCGGCCCAAACGAAAGGGTACGAGCAGCAACACGAGGTGCTCCCACCCAAGAAGAACAAGCCAAAGGTRTCAGCAAGTTTGGTTACTCTCCACAAAGTGAAAGAGCGAGAGCCACCAGAGCGAGACAACGAAAACGAACGAACGAGCGAACAAACAGACAAAAGACAAAAGAGACAAGCACAAACGCACAAACGCACAAGCACAAACGCAAACACAGAGTGCCATGAATCCCCGTCGCAGATCTCGCGGTGCCGTTTTCGTTTTCGTTTTCACTGCCGCTCTGTCGGTTTGGTGTTGCGCGGTGGCGAATGCCGCCTTCGTCTCGGAATCGCGGACGGCCTCGCCCTCCGATCGGAGCAAGGAGGTGCCACCCAGAGCGGGCCTTTCCGATTCGGAAACCAAGCACCCGCTGGAGGACGACAAGTCCTGGAGGCTCCACCTGGAGCGCCGGTCCGGGCACYGGCACCAAAACGCACGCAACGGCCGGAGGGGCCTCCTGGAACAGGGAGACGGCGGAAGGGATTTCGGCAACGACGACGACGACGACGAGGAATTCTACCTGCCCTTCGAGATCAAGCACAAGCCCCGAAAGTCGAAGCACATCAAGATCGCGGGGGGGGACACCACCCACGGAATGATGATCGATGCCGGATCGGTAAGAAACAGAACTTACTAGACAAACAGACACAGACACACACACCGCACGCACGCAGACGTGTCTGCAATGGTTTGGAATGTTTGCTTTGCGTTGCTTTGATTTGCGTTTTTTGTTTTCTTCACAGTGGCAACACGATTTTGCTGTTGCTCTACGGCGATACGGCTAGCRATTGCGGCTCCCGATTCCCTGCCTCACCCCATTGCTTGCCACGCACAACACCACACCACACCATACATCTTCAGCAAGGCACCCGGCTGCACATCTACGAGTGGCGCAAGCGCTTCCTCCTGGACGAGGACGACCTGATCGAGCAGACCAAGGGGAGGAAGCTCTCCTACCCCACCTCGCACAACCGCTGGACGGACAAGTACACGCCCGGCCTGGAYGCCTTTGGCAGCATCAAGCACCCCCACCACCTGGAGCAGGCCGTCGGCGACTACYTGGGGGCGCTGCTGGACTTTGCCAGGGAGGTCCTCCGGGACAAGGAGGCCGAGTGGTCCACCTACCCGATCTACCTCAAGGCGACGGGGGGCCTCCGGACCCTYCCCCAGCCGGAGCGGSTCCGGCTCATGGACTGCGTGAGGAAGCTCTTCCACAACACCACCTTCAATCCCTTTGCCTTCGAGGACGAGCGGGCCCGGGTCATCAGCGGCGAGGAGGAGGCCATCTACGGGTGGGTCGGGGTCAACTTTGCCAAGGGSCTGCTCATCGAGAACAGCATGGGCACCGGGACCGGGAAGGACCCCCGCCGGACCTACGGGATGCTGGAGATGGGGGGAGCCTCCACGCAGGTCGCGGTCTTTGAGAACAACGGGGACCTCATGGCCAACCTCTTCAAGCTCCAGCTGGGCGGCGCGAGGCACTGGAACGTCTACGTGCACTCCTACCTGTACTTTGGGATCAACGGGGCCTGGTCGAGGCTCAACGCCTGGCTGCACGGGGAAAACAAGACGACCAACCCCTGCCTCCCCCTCGGCAAGGAGGTGGTCTTTGATTCCTGGATCCACGTGGGGCCGCGCGGGCACTTTTAYCCGCGGAGCGACGACCCGAAGAGCGYCCCCTACTCCGTCACCATGGTCCACGAGGCACCACCCAGTGGCGGAAGCGAACCCTACGACGCCGAGGCGAACTTCCAGGAKTGCTCCAACCGCACCTTTGCGCTCCTCCGCAAGGGGACCAACTCCGAGTGGTGCGACTTCCAGATGGACGGGAACTGCGGGTTTGCGGGGATCTACCAGCCCCCCATGCCCCAGACCAACAGCGAGAACGACGAGTTCATCGCCACCAGCAACTTTTACGACGTCTTCCAGTTCCTGCAGCTGGGGGAGACCGCGAACGTCTCGCAGATCGGGAAGGCCGCGAGGGACGTCTGCATGATGGACTGGCCGGCCCTGGTGGACTACAACRAGGCCAACGAGATGTTCACGGTCAAGACGGACCACGAGCTGGCCCAGTTCTGTTTCCGGTCCCTCTTCGTGTACCACCTGATCCGGAACGGATGGGAGTTCGGCGACGACTACCGGATGACGGCGGTCGACGTCATTGACGGGCACAAGCTCGGGTGGGCCCTCGGCTGCATGCTGTACGAGATCAACACGCGTGAGTCCCAGTTGCGGAAACCAAACGATCGAACAATTAAACAATTAAACAAACAAACAAACAAGCGAGCGAGCGAGCGTTGGGTGGGGCCGTGTCAGACCGACCGACCGACCGACCCGCACCTGTTTGGTTCGTCGAGCTTGCTGCGGGTTTGTGTTGGTATCTTTTGTATCCTAACCGATTCTTGCTTTGCTTTCTATTGCTTTGCCTTTTTTCGTTTTTGCAACAACGAAACCTTCCTCTGCAACGTTGTCCCATTCGATTCCCAGTTCCCTGGGATTTCCATCCCGAGCTCCTGTACAAGGGGACCAGCAAGATCCTGGTCGCTCTGTACGTGGTCCTGGGAACGCTGGGCGGATCGATCGTCGGATTGATGATCGCGATGCGGCTGAACAAACGCATCAACGAGGCCGTCCGCAAGTCCGTCATCTTTCAGAACCACCCGGAATTCGCCAACAACCCGCTGGTCCGCAAGTCGCTGGCGCTTCCGAAGATGGACCTCGACGAGCTGGAAAGCCTCTACAACGACGKGGACGAGGACGAGGACCAGGACGATCGGCAAGAAGATCAAACCGCTGCCCTCAATCGGTCCAAGACCCCCGGCTACAGCGCGACGTGAACGATTGATCCAAACGCCAGACTCGCTTTGTTTGATCCGTTTGGCATCGACACCTGTGTTGTTCGGGTGTCGTTTGCCATTCATATAGCACTATGTTCTACAACGGTACAATGCCAAAACATCACAACTAATAACATCCTATTCGTTTGTACTTGAAGCAGATGCACATCCGACTACTTTCTTAGTTTTTCCTCTCGACATCTTTGGGAATTTCGATAGCATTGCCACGAAGAATATCAAAAACACGGAGCAGAGTCACTACGGATTTCTACTAAAAAATACTCCCGGAATGCACAGGTTATCCCGTAATAACTATGACATTCCACAGGGACGAACAGCAGAAACATATTGTTGATCGATTCATTCCAACTAGACCGTTTGGCTTGGCTCGTTATCGATTATCGATAGTAGGAATATTTCTTCATTAGAACCTCAGACTGTTCCAGTAGTATGTGAATAAACTTCCAGTTGTTAGAAAAATGATCTTACGAGTAATGAATACTAGTACGACAATTCCTTCACGAGAGCCTCAGGACTTTTCAGTAGATTCTTGTCAACCTCTCAGTAGGTTGTTGGAAAATTCCAATTGTTTGCATACATATTGATATTACGAGGATTCCTTCATTAGTGCCCCAGAAGTTCCGAATGGTATGAGACGACGTTATCGGCGCACTGATAGAAACTTCATATAGTATGTATAGTCAAGAATATCTTCGATATTTCTTTACTAGAACTTAAGATGCTTCAAATGGTATGAAACGACTTTGTCAGCGCACTGATAGAAACTTCATGTAGTATGTATAGTCAAGAATATCTTTGATACGTCTTCATTAACAAAACCTTTGAATCTTCTAGTGGTATTAAACGATCTTTTCAATGGACTGATAGAAATTGTACACATGGAATACCTCTAACTTTACTTTACGGGTGGCAATTTTCAAGCAAATACTTCCATGAAAGGTAGCAGCATAGCGAATGTTGATAGGCTCCCAACTGCGAGTTAATACGTGGTTACAATAGAGGAGTGAGGTTATTCACTAGCTACTCGGCGATTTAGCCTAAAGAAGGATGTTTACAGTATGATTCGGTACGAATTCTCTCCACTGTATCACTATTACGAGTAGGTTTTGTACTTGTAGTATTTTTTCATCAATTTCTTCAACACATGGGTCTCTCGAGGGATTCAATTTGATATCGATAGAAATGGGATTGAAGTTCCATGGTATACAAATAATTAAATATGAATTTGCAATACCGCACGGTAGGATTGGGAATACCATCGAATATTTTGATTGCTAGAAGCGGAGGCCCTTCAGCCTTATCCGTGCGAACTGCAACTGACATAATATGTAGACGTTCCTCTCTTAATTACCATACGGCCTATTAACAACGTTTTCAATTGATTTAATGCTCTCTGCAATATGAAGATTGTTCTCCACTCTGTCAATGCGCTATCAACATTATAGCCAAACATTTTTACTACTGATATTTAATAGTCTAAATTCTCGATCTCTTAGCAATCCACACCATTCTCTTTGCGACACTCTGCTTCTCTTCGGTGCGTAGCTCCCCATTTATTGATTATGAACAAAACTGCACAAATAGCCACAAATCAATTCTCATAATTCTACAACACAAAACATCCCAGCGATGATGGAAGGTTCAGGTTTGTGCTGTTCGCATGAACCAGAAGTGGGGAACCAAAAGACACAAAACGGGTTTGCTGTATTGAAGAACAACGCACCAGGGGACGACACTAGAAATGTTTCTGGAGGTGACGTCGTAAACGAAATGACGGGTCACGAAAAGGATATCGATATAGATGTAGAAAAGGGGATAGAAAACACCGACAGGTCGAGACAACAACGATGTTTGTCAGAAAGCTTATTGACTGTAAACATGTTTGATTCATCCTTTGGAGAGCAAACACAAACTACCAGTACAGAAGACGAGACAGCCGGCAATAGCGACGAACACAATGCAGGGTTTGCAACAGTTTTGCGGACGTGCAGGTCATCGTTGGAAGAAAAAGGAACGAACGGAAATGTTGATAAGCACGTCGATCCTGGGTCATTCATTGAAGCCTTAGATGCTGACGTCGATATTGAACCCAATTCACCCTCAGTTGCGACATCAGCATCGCCACCAGCTCCACCTGTTGCCAATGCTGAAGCTGCTACACCAASCAAAAAGCTCCGACAATGGACAAGGAGTTCTTCCTTTGCTTGTTTGAATGCGTTGGATTCCAGTCGTYACTTGGTTGTCGAGGAAGACGACAAGAACAATGACGAACAACCCACTATAAAACCCGTCACAGAAGAAACAGAGAGGAAATSCSGAGGGCAGGTGGTTACCAAGCAGGAAGGAGCAAACAGCAGCATTGATGGYGCTTTAGAATCCCTTGCCACTGAWTCAACGCCCTGGAATGTCAATATCACAGAATCCGRTGTGGTCGACGCGTATACCACAGCAGCTGGAAGAACAAGAATCAAAGGGAGCCCTTYCTCTTTCGCATCTCCAGAGAATACAGATTGCGATGTTGACGATTACTCTAATCGCCAAACGATAGAAAGACCTGGAACTGGCGGAATCGACAGTAACGATAACAATGRCGTTTTTCAGGATTATGATTGGCCAAGAGTGGACGAAAGCTRTRTTGAAGAAATTRTCTTCTACGACGGATCAACAAGCTCAGGAGGGGAGGACAAAAACAAAAGCCACGACWGCGAATGCCACCAGTGCCAAATCGAACAAGCCGACCGCAACCGAGACGGAACACGCRCGTCAGATTACATGTATGCAAGCAGCAACAGCCAGCAGAGCCCCAACAATACCAKCAATGGCAACAGCMAMAGCAAAAGCAACAGCCAATCTTCGAATGAGTTGCAAGACGRAATCGCTAGAGAGGAAGACAGGGCSGTTCGTCGGTGGCGGATCTTTCTCATTRTTGTTTTGTTGGTTCTCACGATCGTCATCTCCCTACAGGTCCATTCCTATTTCCGCAACAAGGAGCTCCGGGAGTTCGAGGAGGCATTTGCCATGGACTCGGAAAAAGTCTTTGACTCCTTRTCGMATACGATGGACATCAACCTCAWTGCGATCGATTCCCTGGCGYTGCTCATGGCCAGCAGCGCCCGAGAGAAGAACGAGACCTGGCCATTCATRGTACTGCCGGACTTTGCTACCAAGGCATCGAAGRTACGGATCTTGACACRGGCCATCGCCCTCCAGCAATTTCAGTACGTCGACGACAAAGACCGCAAAGAGTGGGAAACTTATTCGAAGGCGAACGAAATGTGGGTCCAGGAGGTCATYGACGTCGAGCGGAGGGATCCAACCTTTCATTCGAGAAACTATAGGTAYGCACCAGATTACAACGGCACATCATGGCCAACCCGGAGCATCTGGTACGGTGAAATTACSACGAACATGATTTCCTTTCCGCTCAAGGGCACTGGCCCGTATGCCCCCTCCTGGCAGAGCTATCCGCTCCTCCCATCGAGCGCTACCAATTCTCCCTATAATTTCGACGCAATGCAGCACAGGGCTCTTGGACCAGGGATCCGGAAAGTTGTCCGGGACCAAAATGCCGTRATCGGGCCGGTGCTCAATTTTGCCGACTCCGATGACCTTGAGTAAGTTGTGGACAGTGCGGCATTTTGTTGTCAAGCTTATGATATTTCGCACCGGTGCAATGATCCAGGATCATATCCATCTATTMATTCACCCACTGGCACTACAAAATTTTCTGATATCGTTATTTCTTTGKTATTATACTGTCCAAWTACATTCTTTCACCTATTCACAGGGGCGGCAATGTATTCCGGGCTTGGGCGTCTCGACATGTCGATGACGGAATCGACCCTATAGAACCCATCGTCGCCGTTCTCTATCCAATCCTGGATACGGCACATGGTGCGGTTACAACCCGTGAATCCAATTCTAAAGTCGTAGGGGTTATAGCTGGAATATACCTATGGAAGTCCTTCCTCGAAAATATCTTGCCATCCTCGGATAGAGGCCTAGTAGTGGTATTCGAGAACWCTTGCAGGCAATCCTTTACGTACATGATCACAGGCAAGCGYGCAGAATATCTGGGGCAAGGGGACCTSACAGCTGTARCAAGCGGACACGTAAAACATGAGCRTCATGGAGAYATGATGCATTTTGAGGTTGTACAAAATATGGTTCAGTCACGCCGATCTGAGGCGATGCAAGACATTTTGGGAGGCCACGATCGCAATTTACATGACGGAGGTCTTGGKGKTTTGCCGCTTGACAACGAATTCTGTGCGTACACGATCAAGATATTTCCMTGTAGCGCGATCACGGAAAACGTCCACTTCACCGACAACCCCCGCAATTTTAGCATTATTTGCGTCTTTATTTTCGGTTTCACGGCGCTCGTCTTTTTCGCATATGACACCCTTGTTCGGATGCGCCAGAAAAAGGTGATGCAGACGGCAATCCAGAGCACAGCAATTGTTTCCTCTCTGTTTCCTTCTAACATACGCAAGCGTCTAATGGAAGAAGCCACCGGAGCACAAAGTCGCCCCCCACCAAACAAGAATGAAATTTTGTCCGAAAGTTCCCGRAGTAAATCACTCACCCARAAAAAGTCGGCTCACCAACCAACAAAACTCGTGCTACGTTCTTATCTAAACAGTGGCGGYGGAGAAAATGAAGCCAGCGAAGTGGGCACGAAAAACAAGCCTATTGCAGACTTGTTTGCGGATACGACCGTTCTCTTTGCTGATATTGCCGGCTTTACCGCTTGGTCGAGCGTCCGAGAACCGACACAGGTGTTTACTCTCCTCGAAGTAGTTTATGGGGCGTTTGATGAAATCGCAGCAAAGAGAAAAGTTTTCAAAGTAGAGGTATGTCGTGAAATGTTTTCTGTTTTCTTTGYAATTTAGACGTTTATTTTTTGCTAATCCTTTTTAAAACAGACTATTGGGGACTCGTATGTTGCAGTTACAGGCCTTCCTGATCCAAAACCAGATCACGCGGTAGCTATGGCCAAATTTGCCTTTGATTGCAGGGAGCAATTCAACATATTATGCACAGTTCTTGARCGCTCACTAGGACCGGAAACTGGTGATCTGAAGCTTCGAATCGGCCTGCACAGTGGTCCAGTAACGGCGGGTGTTCTGAGGGGTCAAAAATCTCGATTCCAGCTATTCGGAGACACCGTGAATACGGCATCTAGAATGGAGAGYACCGGCAGAGTGAACAAAATCCAGGTATCGCAAAAAACAGCAGATCTCTTGAGGGAGGCTAGGAAGGGGCGCTGGTTGCAGCCGCGCGAAGAAATAGTCGAAGCCAAAGGAAAGGGTCTCATGACAACGTACTGGATCGAACCAAGGAAAGTGGCGCAGTCGATTGAGAGCAGCCGCACTAGCCATTCGTCGTCAGTTCATACCTCTTCCRKATCGCATACTTCTTCCTCGTCTTCAGTGCCCTCTTTTCGTGCCAAAAGGAGAGATAACTCATGCCAAACAGAACGACTCGTCAACTGGAACGTAGATGTGTTGGAAAGACTTTTAAAGAAAATTGCTCTTCGCCGCAGTGCTCTCAAYGAAAAAGCCGATGCCGATGTTGTATGGAAAATTCCCAGCGATGCAATGGTTCTTAAGGAGGTAAAGGAGGTAATTGAGTTGCCKGAATACAATTGCAAGTAYATCGATCAGGCGGAGAATCCGGACTCGGTAATTCTTGGAAAGGAGGTGAGATCACAGCTCCACGAGTTTGTGGTATCCATTTCTCGGATCTACCACGACAATCCCTTCCATAATTTTCCGCATGCGAGCCACGTTGGCATGTCGGTGAGCAAGCTGCTGAGCCGCATCGTAGCCCCCGACAAGACCTTTGAAAAGCACGAGCAACTCCATGATCACACATACGGCATTACGAGCGATCCGCTGACCCAATTTGCATGCATTTTTTCGGCGTTGATCCATGACGCCGACCACAGCGGAGTACCAAACGCCCAGCTCGAAAAGGAAGAGACACAGATGGCAAAAACCTACGAGGGTAAGAGCATCGCAGAACAAAATTCCATCAATCGTTCCTGGGAAMTCCTTACTCGTCCGAGCTTTGTGGACCTGCGAAAAGCTATCGCTCAAACCCAGCAGGAAGARGAGCGCTTCCGTCAGCTGGTGGTTAATGCCGTTTGTGCCACGGATATTATCGACAAGGATCTCAAAAACGCTAGAAACCAGAGATGGGAGAAAGCCTTCTCGCTGCCCGTGTCCTCTGCTCCGTCTCTTAKTGGYAACACATCAGCATCGATCGACGTGAGGGAACAGATCAACCGCAGGGCCACTATAGTCATCGAGCACATTATCCAGGCATCGGACATTGCCCATACGATGCAACACTGGCACATCTACATCAAGTGGAACGAACGCCTKTATGATGAGATGTACAAGGCCTACGTAGAGGGCCGGGCAGAAAGCGATCCCACCGAGGGGTGGTACGAGGGCGAGATCGGATTTTTTGACTACTACATCATCCCCCTCGCCAAAAAGCTATCCGAGTGCGGTGTATTTGGGGTGTGTTCAGACGAGTATCTGGATTATGCCAGGATGAATCGAAACGAGTGGGAAAAGAAGGGGAGGGCCGTTGTCTCTGGCTACGCCAAGAAGCACAACAAAGAAGCTTGTTGCCATCATCAGATATCATCACCGTCGCATAAGAAGTCTTCCCTCGGCGGAGAGACACAACAATCATCTTGCTCGGGAACGAGAGACATGYCCATTACACTCATGCATCGATCGGAATCGGAACCGCAACCGACGGAGAATGGGTCGTTGTCGAACTAGAACCATCAAATCAGGGGTCGGGATCGATTCKCTCAACCAAGAAACTAGAAATGGAACGTGTTGCTTTGTTTTGCCAACCAACGTCGGGCTATTGCATTGTTTGACTCCATATCCGCATTGTTTGGCTATCGCATGCATATTGGAATAGGGGAACTAAAATAAACAAAAAATCGATTAATTTAAGAGAGAATAAGTAAGATTCAAAGCTTTAATACAATGTATTGGTATATGTATGATCATAATTTACAAAGGGGTATCGTGTATAAATGGAGGTTGCGAATAGCGTTGGTGGTTTGCGAAAAACAAAGCTTGTCGAAGATCGTTGTCGCTTCCCTCCCATTAAACCAAAATTGTATAGCTGGAAAACAGTTGCGAATGAACCATTTCGTCCGTAAAAGTGATGTAGTGTATGTAGTCTTTATGATTGTTGTTGATGGGTACAGCTTTGATCATGTTTGMATTGTTTTGTTCTACTCTGCTCTGCTCTGATCAATCACACCAACAAAGGCCATCGTATTCTTGCACGTGACCGGATGCAATAAATGTTTGGAGAGTGTCCTTTCTTGTCCAGCACGGTGACGATGCCGGGGACTGGCAGAACAACTGTTGCTGTTGGATTTTTGGCACTGGCGTGGTTTGATCCTCCTTGTTTTGATTGTTGCTGCGGATCTTTTTGATTTTGTATTTATGCGGTACCATCATGATGGGATTCATCTTTGCTRTAGATAGCCTGCTTTCCTGTTTTGTTCTTTCGTTCGTTCGTTTGCWGAMAATTGTTTTGATTCTCGATTCTCTTTTRCCTCGGTATTGTCTTTTATGAACAACTTAGTTTCGAAGTTATGTTATCATTTCCATCCAAAGATTTTACTCTGCAATATTCTCGAGCATGCGAGTGATAGAGTATCATAGATGCTTGCTGTACAAGTCCCGTATCGCTCGCAATGGATCAAGCGTCACAAAAAAAAACAGAGAACAACCCATCACCAAAAAGGGGTCGTGAAAACCAAGAGGCGTCATCCTAGTACCGTATCCTTTTGCGGCACAAAGGGGCAAGCCTTGCCATTTGGGATTGCGTCAGGTATCCTATCTGCACTTTCGAGACGGGGACTATTGACACGATTTGCAACGCAAGTTGATACCACTTTCTACTTCGCTTTTGAAATTGCCTACC